CAAAAACGATGCACAACAAAGGTCAAATTTGGCCTGACTCGAGAAAGAGTTGTACGACTCAAAAAAATATGAAAATCGCACAGTGTATGCCCGGCTTTAAAAGCTCTCCAAACATAAACAGACCGTGAAAGTGGGAGCTCCGCAGAGTTCCAACCATTTTCATCTGCATAATTTTCTGATCTAATCTGAGTTTCGGGTGTGCTGAGACTATGAGTGCGAGGTGAGAATGAACAATATTTTAACACTGAAACATGAATATTTATACACTATTTTTGAAAATGGGTGGTTATGAACAATTATTTCCAAAATAATTATTTTAGAATGGTAATGTTCAGTTGGCCTGGAACAAAATCCATCCACAAAGTGCAGGCTATGGCACTTTCAACTGAAAAATGATTAGCAGCTGCAGTGAATGACTGTGAACAAACATAAACCCTACTGGGTTAAACACACCCAAACATATATGCTGTAATATCCTGTTGTAAATGAAATGACAATGAGCTGAATTCAGACATGCCTCTTCATCTGACCGGCTACAGGGAATGAACACACAGCATCACCGCCCACTCTGTTCCTCGTTCAATGCTTACTCAAGGCAAGCTTTTGAAGGAATGTGTTTAATGAGTAAAACACTGAAGGGTATGGAGCGGACCAGAATAACAAAAAGGTGCTTTAAGGCCATCAGGTAGATTTATCTGTATACAACTGAACTTCATTATCCATAAATTAACATTCATCTGAGGTGCTTCATCATACTTCAGTTGCTAAAAAAGGAGCAATGATTGAACAATTTAAACTGGACCAGAATAACAAAAAGGTGCTTTAAGGCCATCAGGTAGATTTATCTGTATACAACTGAACTTCATTATCCATAAAATTAACATTCATCTGAGGTGCTTCATCATACTTCAGTTGCTAAAAAAGGAGCAATGATTGAACAATTTAAACAAACCGTCATACTGAAGCAGACTGGCGAACAGGTGTAACAGTCATCAATTACATGTTCTCAATGTAATAAATAACCCCGTAAAAGCCATCAAAGTAAGGTGTTTATTGCCAAAGATAAATCTCTGCAATTCATTAGGACCTGTAGGGAAGGGATTTGAATATGTAGGGAGTGGTGTTGCCCGCAGGGAACTAAAACCTGGTTAATAAAAATCCATATATGACATGAGAACATGCTTCAATGCTGCCGAGTCACAGTAGTTTGCCTGCCAGCTATTTACATGTCAACATTATCAGAGGCGAACAGGGCAAATAAATCACTGTCATATACACTGAACAAAATTATAAACGCAACACTTTTGTTTTTGCCCCCATTTTTCATGAGCTGAACTCAAACATCCAAGACTTTTTCTATGTACACAAAAGGCCTATTCCTCTCAAATAGTGTTCACAAATCTGTCTAAATCTGTGTTAGTGAGCACTTCTCCTTTGCCGAGATAATCCATCCACCTCACAGGTGTGGCATATCAAGATGCTGATTAGACAGCATGATTATTGCACAGGTGTGGCTTAGGCTGGCCACAATAAAAGGCCACGCTTAAGGTCACGCCTCTGATAATGTTGACATGCAGTGTAGCTCCCATCACATAGACATGTTGTTCCCTGAATTACCAAAAACAAAGGTCTATTTGTGTCTAACTGCAAATGAACTGCATTTGTTAAAATTTTTTATTTTGAAGTAAAAGTTCAAATGAGACCTACAATTCATTAGGACCTGTAGGGAAGGGATTTGAATATGTAGGGAGTGGTGTTGCCCGCAGGGAACTAAAACCTGGTTAATAAAAATCCATATATGACATGAGAACATGCTTCAATGCTGCCGAGTCACAGTAGTTTGCCTGCCAGCTATTTGCATGTCAACATTATCAGAGGCGAACAGGGCAAATAAATCACTGTCATATACACTGAACAAAATTATAAACGCAACACTTTTGTTTTTGCCCCCATTTTTCATGAGCTGAACTCAAACATCCAAGACTTTTTCTATGTACACAAAAGGCCTATTCCTCTCAAATAGTGTTCACAAATCTGTCTAAATCTGTGTTAGTGAGCACTTCTCCTTTGCCGAGATAATCCATCCACCTCACAGGAGTGGCATATCAAGATGCTGATTAGACAGCATGATTATTGCACAGGTGTGGCTTAGGCTGGCCACAAGAAAAGGCCACGCTTAAGGTCACGCCTCTGATAATGTTGACATGCAGTGTAGCTCCCATCACATAGACATGTTGTTCCCTGAATTACCAAAAACAAAGGTCTATTTGTGTCGAACTGCAAATGAACTGCATTTGTTAAAATTTTTTATTTTGAAGTAAAAGTTCAAATGAGACCCTTGGGGAAAGGTGGCAACCCAGAATTGGCACAGAAGGAGCAAGTTGGATAAGAAGGTTTATTCTGTTTATCAGATCTGTACAACCTCTCCTGCACACAGGTGTGCTATGAGTAACCAGCCAAATGAATGAGAACTGATCTGAGAATGTCCTATATATATACACCTTAATGAATGAGGCCTCTGCTTATACATTTCTATACTCCTTGCTAACTTTTCAGTGCAGACCTTACAGAATTTATAATATAGGTTATCAGCTGGCTTCTTAGATTTGGGTTTCAATCTTCCCGAGTGTAATGTTGCCAGGTTTGACAGTTTGCCACAAGTTTTTACATCTAGACCCATTTTTGACCAATACACCAGAACTTGTCAAATCTATACATTAAGAGTTCTTAGATAAGAGGATCGTCACGGGGAACCAGTCATTAGCCTGGGATGCAGGGATCCTGGGATCCACACCTGATCAAGAGTATGAGTAGTTGAACTATAGAGTCATTTATATTTAGGGTATACTATATTCTCAAAAATTCACACATCGTCACTCACCTGCATTGCTTCTATGAACAGAGAAAAACAGAATACAATTGTGTGTGTATATATATATATATATATATATATGAAAATAAATAGGCCTACACAAAATATGTTTCACTTAATTAACACACTAACAAAGCAAAAGAAAAAAAAAGTTAAAGAAAACCAAGATGGCTGAAAGCGTTTTTTTTTCAAAAGCACAATATTTTGTATTTATTGAGTGAACACAAATACAAGTTAGCCCTTTATAGTTAAAAATATTTTCTCTCAACGCAATTTTGACTGATATGATAAGGTACTTCAACCATGCAGAAAAAAACTAAACAAAAAATTACTTAACCATTAAATTTCAATTATGCTCATCCCTATATATATACTGTATATATATATATATATATATAAATAACTACTAAACTGCTGTCCTGTTACAGGCATTACATGGTTTCACGTGTGGTTCTGCAACTGATTCTTCATTAACAATTTTATTTATTTTAAAGAAATTCATTTTCTAGTGATTTTGTTGTGTTGGTATATTGGCATTAAAATAAGCAAAATAAAAGAAAATCTGTAATCTGTCTATTTTAACTGTTAAAGGCAAGTTTGACATAGCCTTCACACATGAGTTATGATATTAAAACAAAGCAATAAACCAATCAAGTTCTGATGCACTGACTCACTATTAATCTTTTTTTTTTTTGGTTGAATATTAACTAAACAAAAAATTACTTAACCATTAAATTTCAATTATGCTCATCCCTATATATATACTGTATATATATATATATATATATATATAAATAACTACTAAACTGCTGTCCTGTTACAGGCATTACATGGTTTCACGTGTGGTTCTGCAACTGATTCTTCATTAACAATTTTATTTATTTTAAAGAAATTCATTTTCTAGTGATTTGTGTTGGTATATTGGCATTAAAATAAGCAAAATAAAAGAAAATCTGTAATCTGTCTATTTTAACTGTTAAAGGCAAGTTTGACATAGCCTTCACACATGAGTTATGATATTAAAACAAAGCAATAAACCAATCAAGTTCTGATGCACTGACTCACTATTAATCTTTTTTTTTTTTGGTTGAATATTAACATCACTACTGGAGTTTAAATTTGACCAGTGGGGAAAAAATACAGCTCTGACGTTCCCTAAATGGGTAATAAAACTCACATAGGGGGTTCAATACCACTGTTGAAGGAATTAAATATCTTTGTCTGCTTTTTGAACTAATTTTGGATCAAGACTAGTTTCAGAGACGTAAATCAAAACGACGTCAAAACTAAAGTTGATCTTTTAAATTTTTATAGAAGTAGTATTGTATACAGTTGCATACAGAAAAGGCAGAATATTCAAGAAACCTTCAAAACCACACCATTGGGACTGTTATTGGACCTAGTGTGTGGCCTTTAAACCCAACCAGAAGCAGAAGAACTGCAGACCAAATCTGTCTAGATTTGACCCAGTCCTGTATGAAATCTACTTCTGAAGCAGACTAGCGAGTCTGTATATGATGAGATCCAAATGAAGGCATGATCCATAAGTCTGCACATAAGATTTATCCTAAATTTACTAAATTTACTAAATTCTACCCAAGTCACTCACTATGTACTGCCATTGTACTGAATTCACCCAAATGGATGTTCATTTAACAATCTTATCTGTTCGGCAGAATAAAGGAAGTCGAGATATGTGACCCTGGAGCACAAAACCAGTCGTAAGGGTCAATTTTTAGAAATTGAGATTTATACATCATCTGAAAGCTGAATAAATAATCTTTCCATTGATGTAAGGTTTGTTAGGATAGGACAATATTCGGTCGAGATACAACTATTTGAAAATCTGGAATCTGAGGGTGCAAAAAAATCTAAATATTGAGAAAATCATCTTTAAAGTTGTTCAGATGAAGTTCTTAGCAATGCATATTACTAATCAAACATTAAGTTTTGATATATTTACAGTAGGAAATGTACAAAATATCTTCATGGAACATGATCTTTACTTAATATCCTAATGATTTTTGGCATAAAAGAGAAATGTATAATTGTGACCCATACAATGTATTGTTGGCTATTGCTACAAATATCCCCCAGCGACTCAACACTGCTTTTGTGCTGCAGGGACACAAATGAGGATGAGTAAATTACATTTTCATTTTTGGGTCAACCATCACTCTTATTTTTCAAACACTGATTTTATTAATTATAGTACTGCATCACTGCACCAGCACATTAGCAAATGAGCAATGAACATGAGAATTAACCGTGGCTGTCTGGCTAGTTTAATCCTTCACACACGTCTGACACCTGCTCTGATCTGTGGTGTTGTTCATTAATCAGTCATCATATCGGCTCCTGCTCCACCGGTGGAGTCGCTCAGGCTCAGATCCTCCATCATCTCCGCCAGAGAGATCCTGGGAGCGCCGTCGTCATCCGTCTCACTTTCCACAGGGATCTTTGAAGCATCTGTACAGGGAAAAATGATTCTGGCGTGAGTACGGTGAGAATATTAATTCAAGAGATGCGTTGTGGTGCGTTTCTTCACCTCTGAAGATGTTGACGTTCTTCCTCAGCATCTCATCTTCCTCCAGGTCCTCCAGGAATTCAGTGTATTGTCTATAAGAAAAAATACCATCATCAAACAGCCAATAAAAACTAAATCAGAAAAGATAATGATGATTGGCATTTCAAGTATAATTAAAGTTATGTTAAAAATACATACTTATTTAGAATTTCAGTAGTCTGTTCCAATACCAGTGAATTTTTATGATTCTTGATCATTTCAATACCATACCAATTTAATTTTTTATTAAAATATTAAAGCTAATAATAATTTAAGGCTACATGGCATTAAGTAAAGATTCATAAAGACCTGATCCAGTAATAAAATGAAAAACAAGGCAACATAAAGAGAGCTTCAAGTCTGTCTCACGTCTTATTAAAGCTACTAAAGTTATTCAGACAAGCGCAGTGAGTGTTTTACGCTTAAATATTACGTAACACTTCACAGTAAGGTCTCGTTCGTCAATATTTGTTAATGCATTAGCCAACACTGACAACGTTTACATGCAAGCTCTTGTTTTTAACTCAAGCTGACAATGTGCGTGGTCATATTTACTCCAGATATACGAGAAACATTAAGCATAAACCGATCAACATTTCATGAGTTTAGGGCCTCATTAAATTTGTTTTTATTTTCCCCTAAATTCTCATGTGATTTTGGATGCGATTAATCGTACGACAGCACTAATATATATATTAAAACAAAGTCTTTAATAAAGTTAGCATGGTTTCTGTACTGCAAGTACAGCAGAAAAATGGTATTGCTACACATTTACAATTTTAGTATCAGCCCAAGACAGAAACACCGGTACTTTTGACATCACTAGACAAAATTATAATGCGACGATCACCAAAAATGAGGAAAACTAATGCTGTAGACATTCAAAGTTGTTCCTTATTCTTCATACGTTTACCCTCACTATATCTGAACAAAGTAAATGTCATGTAAGCGTGTCTGTTGTATTTCACCCAGAAATCATGAAGGGAAAAAAAAAAAAACTTGAATAAAGAAAATGAAGCTTATTTTAGGACCATTACAGCTCTTTACATTAGACCATTTCTTATGACAAGTCTTAACCTCATTACTGTGATGCTTCCAAGTTCTTATGGTTTTGTAATTGTCATTTTTCTCATTAATTCCAAATAAATTCTCCTCTCTGCAAGTTTTATCTGTTATTAGTATTCAACAAATACAGCTATGATTTATTAATTTGTTCTTTGCATTATAATAAAGGGAATTTGAGGGGTAAATGTGAGCACAGCCTCAGATCTCCTCACCTCTCATCATCGGTGTCTGCAGCGTCTCTCTCTCGGTCCAGCTCCCTCAGCTTCCACACTCGGTTCTTCACCCGCTTCATGCGGTCATAACTCTTCTTTATCAGCACCTGAACACCAGCAGCATGTTATTATTAGTAATATCATTATTCAAGATCAACATGTTCCTGTAGCTAGCAATGTCACAGTCATGGGTTTGATTTCCAGAAAAAACAAGAATTGATTTGTATGTTGAATGCAATGCAAGTCGCTTTCAATAAAAGCGCAGCTCTGACAAATTCTGACACAAGTAGATGTTATCTTCACATATCAAGTATGATGGTTTTTTTGTATATTTTTCAGTTTATACAGATTGAGTGACTGACTCACTATCATTAAAATGTTGACATGTCGTCGATAAGATTTTTAAAATGTTTTTGAAAGAAGTCTCTTCTCTTCTGAACTATTGTTTTTTAGTATCAGCCCAAGACAGAAACACCGGTACTTTTGACATCACTAGACAAAATTATAATGCGACGATCACCAAAAATGAGGAAAACTAATGCTGTAGACATTCAAAGTTGTTCCTTATTCTTCATACGTTTACCCTCACTATATCTGAACAAAGTAAATGTCATGTAAGCGTGTCTGTTGTATTTCACCCAGAAATCATGAAGGGAAAAAAAAAAAAACTTGAATAAAGAAAATGAAGCTTATTTTAGGACCATTACAGCTCTTTACATTAGACCATTTCTTATGACAAGTCTTAACCTCATTACTGTGATGCTTCCAAGTTCTTATGGTTTTGTAATTGTCATTTTTCTCATTAATTCCAAATAAATTCTCCTCTCTGTAAGTTTTATCTGTTATTAGTATTCAACAAATACAGCTATGATTTATTAATTTGTTCTTTGCATTATAATAAAGGGAATTTGAGGGGTAAATGTGAGCACAGCCTCAGATCTCCTCACCTCTCATCATCGGTGTCTGTAGCGTCTCTCTCTCGGTCCAGCTCCCTCAGCTTCCACACTCGGTTCTTCACCCGCTTCATGCGGTCATAACTCTTCTTTATCAGCACCTGAACACCAGCAGCATGTTATTATTAGTAATATCATTATTCAAGATCAACATGTTCCTGTAGCTAGCAATGTCACAGTCATGGGTTTGATTTCCAGAAAAAACAAGAATTGATTTGTATGTTGAATGCAATGCAAGTCGCTTTCAATAAAAGCACAGCTCTGACAAATTCTGACACAAGTAGATGTTATCTTCACATATCAAGTATGATGTTTTTTTTGTATATTTTTCAGTTTATACAGATTGAGTGACTGACTCACTATCATTAAAATGTTGACATGTCGTCGATAAGATTTTTTAAATGTTTTTGAAAGAAGTCTCTTCTCTTCTGAAATATTGTTACAATTTAAAATAAGGTGTTTTCTATTGTAACATTGTATTGTTTTTCCTGTGATGGCAACGCTGAATTTTCAGCATCATTACTCTAGTCTTCTACATTTTAATTTTTTTGGGTAACAATTTAAAATGTCTTTACTGTCACACCCTAACTGAATCTCGATTCGTTTAGCATCTCAACCAATTTGAATCGTCACATATTTGAATAGATTTTCAACCGGCTCACAGTTAATCGTTACATCCCTAGTGTATTACATGAGAAACAGAACAGGGCAGACGCGCTACAAAACACATTCAGTGTAGACGGCATTATTGATTATAATGGGTTCTATGTAGACATGTGCCGGTATTCTGTAACGCGATATGTCACGATAATGAATATGCACGATATTTGTTTTGATTGTTATCGTGGGCACTTCAAAATACCGAGAATAATTATTTATTACAAATTATTTCGAATTTGTAGTATGCTGCGTGCGCTCTCAGATGTAAACTAGCACGGCTGAGAAGCGCACGGCGGACGCTCTGGACGAAAGCACTTTCACTCGCTGACAGCAGATGGCGCTGAACAGCAGAAATGCAGCCGCTACCCCGGAAACCCCAAGAAACAAAACAGCTGTGCTACCTTGTTTCTGAAACGTGTTTAAATGATTTAAACAGCCATTCAGATTTGTGTATTCGCTATGGTGTTCATCACAGCGCCAAATACGTAAAATATTTAGACTTAATAGGCTACTTATTTTCAAACCTTTCCACATTTTAATATGTACAACAACATGCCCTAGATATGGTTTGAAAGTGTTTTGATTCTTTATTGTTCGGTCAATATTGTTTCAATAATGAAAAACTCTTCTAAACATTCATTAATCTTAGGTATTCCAATATTTAATAACACGCTGTCAAAATCAAAAGTTGCAACTGTGTTATTTAATGAGCTAACATGAACAAAGACTTGTATTTTGTAACAAAGATGAATAACTTCTGTAGCAAATGTAGCTGTTGCTGATTGTGAATGTTAATGCATTAACTAAGCTTAACTAATGAGATCTTATTGTAAAGTGATACCTATTGGTCTTTATAGTTCTTTTGCACTTTAATCTGTGTAAAACTTTTAACTTTATACATTTGTTGTGTATTTATTGTATTTAAATGTTCAGTTATTTTTGTTTTAAGAAAAAAGCTATTAAACCTGTTATACTGTATTATGACAGCACTTTTTTAAAACTAAATTTCAATATCGTGATAATACCGTACACCGTGATAAAAGCATTAGCAATTAATCGCAACATGAAAATTCAATACCGGCATATCCCTAGTTCTAGGTCCTTTTGATGTGAAGACAATCCAGACAGTCATTCTGTGTTTGGATGAGCCTAAGCCCTTCTGTGCCTCTATACTGAAGTGTCTCTCTTAGATAAGGAACGTTTAAGGAGATGCATCCATATGAAATGCATCTGATTGGGTTATGAGCATGATACAGAGTATCCTGAACACAGTATAGCTTACTAATCATTTAAGGAAGAACTGTGAAATCTGTTAAGTCTTTGGGTTTAACAAAATTAACATTATTAAGCAGTTACCAGCATTTAAAGACAACACTTCCACTTCACTTTAGTACTCCTCGCTTGTTGTTTATTGGAGTATGTAGGAGTTTTACCTTATTGGACGTGAGACCGGCGCCGGCTCCTAACTTCTGATCTCTGATAACGTCGATGTCCATGACCATGAACTCCTCCAGCTGCCGCGGGCTACACAGACTGCTGAACGGGTGACGCCAGAATGTGTTCCCATCCACCTCAGCAACTGAAATCAAACACACACTACAATAAATACAATCCCATCCTCTAAAGACATGGGTGTTGTGATTGACAGCAGTTTTTTTTAAACATATTTCAGCAAAAGTTAATGGAGAAGCACGATAATGGATATGACAATATTAATGTATTTGATCTCGTCAGACTAAATGTGTCCCTGGAGCACAAAAGCAGTGTTGAGTCGCTGGGGGATATTTGTAGCAATAGCCAACAATACATTGTATGGGTCACAATTATACATTTCTCTTTTATGCCAAAAATCATTAGGATATTAAGTAAAGATCATGTTCCATGAAGATATCTTGTGTCGGTCGCGTATATCCGCCATGTTTGTAGTTTTTAACACTTTATTTTGCGTGTTTGTAGTTCTAATCTAATCCTCGTTCACCGTGCAATGTGTTGTGGGTAATATTAGCCGTTAAAGTGTGCATCGATCTGCACTTACAATTCTAACTGGAAGTAGTATGCTGCGTCCAAGTCCTCCTGGGACGTTCGTACTCACGAGTTGACAAGTCGTAATTACGACGTCAGGTGCGTTCAAGTCAGTTTAGTCGGCACAAGATGGCCAAGATGGATAATAAATTACAAGAAAATACAACGGGGTCTGTTAACTCTGCTTATAGAAAATCAAGAGCAAAGAATTCGCATCAGGTGTGTTTTGCGTTTTTAATATTTTTAAAACACGCAACATGGCAAATCAAAAGATTTTTCACCTATAGGTGCAAAAATTATAGCATTTCTTAACTTGGATTTCATTAACTAGCTGCATAACAAGAACATGACCAGTTTAAGTTTATAGGACAACTAAACTATCAGTTTAAACAAAAATGTACCGTTAACTACAGACGTTGCATCCATCGATTCTGCCATGTTTCTCGCTGACACGCCCCCAACTCGGAAACTCTGGGCTTAAAGAAAATGTAGAGTTTTCCACACGTAATAACGACTTTGTGGTGGCGTTCATGTGCTTTCAACTCGTAAATACGATCTATCCGACATGACTTGAACACACCTGTAGCCCATCCGGGAATCTTTGGCATACTTTTTTTAAACGTACTATGATTTGGGACATACTAATTCTATTTTCGAATACGATTTAGGACGGATAGTATGCGAATTGGGACGCAGCAAGGCATTTCCCTCGTTTCTGAATGAATCGGCCGTTTGAACGAATCAGTTGAATGAATGACTAAATGGCTCGCAGTCATCTGCCGCCACCTGCTGGTGGTTTGGTTTCATATTTAAAATGATCATTGCATTTTTCACAACATTTCTTATTTGTATGTTTAAAAAATATTTATAACATTAATCTTATAAAATTATTAATGCATTTGAAATTTTGCAGTGTAACTGCATTTATAGAGAATATCTGTAACTTAGTCCAGATTGGGGGAATTGTAATGTTTAATAATAATAATATTTTTTTTTGCATTGAAAAAAGTATAGATTTTTGTTTGTATATGCTGTCAATGATATAGTTCTTAGAAAGAAAATCAGAATCAGCAGTTCACACTTAAAAAAAATAAAATAAAAAAAATTCAGAAAAATTGCAATCAGCGCATCTCTAGGTTCAGCAGAAGTAGGCCCAAAAGATTTAAGACACTTCCCTGAAGATCACTGAAGGATACAGATATTAGCATACTGCAGTCAAAATTCAGTTTACATTTGCTTTTCCTAATTGTTACTACTTGAGTTTCACAACAAAAAAAAACATACATTTCGATACCACAGCACAAACGAATACTAGACTTACTAATATAAGTACAGCTAATTAATACGAGTATAGTTCTCAAGCAATTATTGAAGACAACTAAACAGAGACTAAAGCGGCAAATTAAAAATAATACGGAAAACAAATACAAAAGACTTACAAAATCTAACAATAATATTAATGTAAGAAATACTATAGAAATTAAAAGCAATCAAATTAAATATATAACAAAAACACTGTGTAAATTAAATACACAGCAGCAGGTATATTAGGCTGCTGTCACTTTAAGACCTAATTAGCAGAATGTCAATGGCACAATAAATGACAAATAATCGTAACTCTTACCATGCTTTTAATTCAGTGCAACTTAACATTTGATTAAATATTAAGGAATAATTGACAACGGGCCTTTGACCCTGTTTCTTCACGAACAGGGCCGCTGTTGTTACCTCGCTTGTGAGAAGTCATAGTTTTTAAGTTGATGTTACTGATAAAATCGTCAGAGTAGCGCTAACAACATAAGCGCGTATGTTAGCGTGTGTGCGTCTGTGACGGAGAGAGAGAGCGGGAGAGATAGAGTATAAGCTTTCCGCACATAATAAAACGTAATTTTGCAGCGAAAACATGGAAATGATCTGTCGTTTTTTTCCCTGTTGTTTACTATATTGATTTGTCTCAGTGTCGTTGTGGGTTTTGGTTCTTTTGCTGTTTTAGGCTGTAAGGTCCTTTGAAATAACTGAAGTGATATGAACATGTAATGCGGTCAAGAGCTTCCTGGAACTACGTTCTAATTGCACACCTTAGAACGTCCGTCAGCCAATCAGATTCAAGCATTCAACGGCCCCGTAGTATAATTTAAACATTTTAGCAGCGCTCTGCTCTAGGCACGTGTCTCCTGCGTGTACCTTCTGTCTGACTTGCACGACTGCTTTCCAGAAGTCTTTGGCCTCCACCCGATGGCAATCCTCACACATCTGAGGCTGAACGACGAACTCCACCACGAACACCTGCTGCAGAATGGCTCCACTCATGACCTGCAGACACATCAGCCTCACTGAAACACTGCCAATCTGGAGTCCGCTCAGTCTAGAAGTCTCCTACATTACCTCTTTCTGGATGGTCAGCTTCATCTTGATTCTTTTAGAGTGCGGCTCCGTCCATAAGAAGCCCGCATCGATAAGTCTCACCTTGAGGGTAATAAAGAAACACACTGTGAACTCCGCATCAGCTGCAGCGGTCCTCGATGTGATTCTGTGAGTTACCAACCTTTGACATGGAAGCCTTGAGTTTCTTAAGGCACAGAGCCAGAAGCTCGCGGGACTCCAGAGCGCACTGGAGCCACGTCCCCGGAGGCTGCAGGTACCTACACACACACACACACACACACACACACACACACACACAAAGAAAACACTTATTTAGACGCTCTGTGTTTTGGGGATCTGTACCATCATCATCATCATCATCATCATTTTCTAAATCCATATTCTAGTCCTTGATTTCAGTTCTAAAATAGATTCTGACATGCTTTAGAGCTGTGCAATATTCCTGCACACAAGTAATCGTATTCTGAATGAACTAAAACATATGTGGACCACAAAACCAGTCGTACGGGTCAATTTTTCGAAATTGAGATCTGAAAGCTGAATAAATAATCGTTCCACTGATGTATGGTTTGTTAGGATCGGACGATATTTGAAAATCTGGAATCTGAGGGTGCAAAAAAATCTAAATATTGAGAAAATCATCTTTAAAGTTGTTCAAATGAAGTTCTTAGCAATGCATATTACTAATCAAACATTAAGTTTTGATATGTTTACGGTAGGAGATTTACAAAATATCTTCATGGAACATGATCTTTACTTAATATCCTAATGATTTTTGGCATAAAAGAAAAATGTATAATTGTGACCCATACAATGTATTGTTGGCTATTGCTACAAATATCCCCCAGCGACTTAATACATGTTCCTTTTTCACTATTAATCAAAATCATCGGTCTCATTCACTAATAACGGCGTGGATTATTAGCATTTATACACACAGGAGAACTTAACGTTGCTGCTCCCAAATTGTTGAATTTTCCTTCCTTTTGGATTTAAGATCCAAGGACGCGTTTTAAAAGCAGCTAAAACCTTGCTTTTGTATTGCTCGGTTTTATCTGATTGTTTATTTTTAATGTCAGTCATTTGAGTGGGTGTCTTTTGTAAATCACGATAGTCATTATTTTTTGGTACGGAAAAAAATGAAAGCTGCATTAAACATTGACTGTTTTGATGCTCGAATCGTGTTAGTGAATGAGGCCCATTTCTTATCATATATGTTCTTGACAAGAGGTAGTTAATAAGAGTGTCATGATGCTTTCGTCTGCATTTTATGATTTAAAGGGATAGTTCACCCCTCCAAAAAAAGACAATTCTGCCATTATATACTCCTCACAAGACATTAATCAGTTATGAGTTGAGCTCTTGTAATGTTTCTCAGTCGTGCTCCAACCCTAACTCCACTTTCACTCAGTACACATGGTCATAGCTTCTCTCCGTGAGCTGTGTTCAGACCGCACCGTTCACACTGCCTGCAGAAATGGACGGTGACTTGCTTGGGAATTCCTTCCGAGATGTCCACTTTATTCCTCAAGCAGGAGACGCACATGTTGGCCGGGTTTGGAGGAATGGCAATGCCACACATACAGCACAGGCTGCGAGCCCAGAGAAAAGCAGAAAGAGCGAGAGATTCAGAAACGACCCAAACATCTCCAGCAGAAAGCAATGGAGAGGAACATCTGAAAACACTCGTATAAGCGGTCACTATCACAACATGATACTCACATATTGCCTTGGCTGCTCGAGGGCGGGGCTTGCATGTACTCCATGACTGCAACAACAAACCAAACATAATAACTCATTTTAATAATCGCATCCGAAATAAAAGTTTGTTTGCATAATACATGTGTGTGTACTGTGTATGTTTATTATGTATATTTGAACACACACATACATACAGTATATATGTAAGAAAATATGCTGTTTATATATTAAATATATTTATGTATAATATAGGTTATATGGATATAAATATATACTGTATGTTTGTGTATACACGCATAATAAATATACACCGCACATGTAAAGAAAACTTGTATTTTGGATGCGATTAATCGCGATTAATCGTTTGAACGCGCTACATTTTAATAACCAAAAACTCCCAGGAAAGTCTAACAGAAGAGATCAGTGCTTCTTGGGTTCTCCCTGTAGCTTCTGATTTGCCTGGCGTTATTTATATATGAACGATTGTGGAAATCCTGCATGTAAAATATGAGTATTATTACCGTCTGACACATGACTGTACTAACACTAACACTAACACTACCGTTACCTCAGCGCTGTTTAGTAAGGTGCGTGTCAGCATATAGAAGCACTAAACCAATACTCACTGTGTTGGAGAATCGGCGATAAACTATTCAATTAGATCAATAACTTCTGCTGAGCACCACATGAACACAGCACACGTGTCTGCGCCAAGACCGACGCCCGCCGATGACGTCACGACACGATGTCGGAATGACAAGACCCCGATAGCTGCCCGACATGCGCCTGAATGTAAATGCGAGTAAACATTCTTCTTCTTCTTCTACACCGCTACCTCAGCGCTGTTTAGTAAGGTGCGTGTCAGCATATAGAAGCACTAAACCAATACTCACTGTGTTGGAGAATCGGCGATAAACTATTCAATTAGATCAATAACTTCTGCTGAGCACCACATGAACACAGCACACGTGTCTGCGCCAAGACCGACGCCCGCCGATGACGTCACGACACGATGTCGGAATGACAAGACCCCGATAGCTGCCCGACATGCGCCTGAATGTAAATGCGAGTAAACATTCTTCTTCTTCTTCTACAAAAAACACTAAATTAATACAAATATATGTATATATATATATAAATCGGAATGCAAATAATTTTTATAGATGCTGTCGTCAAAGACGCCATTTGAAGCTAAGCGCAGACGTTTAAATGGACAAACTTACTGATGAAAACTTTAATGATTACTCTACTTTTAAAGCATACATTTGATTTAAACAACAGGTCTACATAATGTTCACATATGCAGTTCATAGTATTAGCCCTACAGTTACAGCATGACATATTATTTAAAGCTATTCCTATTAACATTTTACATAACATTTATTTATTTCATCTCACAATTCTGTCCCCCCCCTGGCAAATGCAAGTTTATATCTCCTAATTCTGACTTTATTATTATTATTTCTGCGACCATGATGCACGCGCATTCAAGAGGGTCTCTAGCTGCAGCCTTGCACTTGCACTCTCAGACACTTGCACTCTCAGACACTTGCACTCTCAGACACTCGCACTCTCAGACACTCGCACTCTCAGACACTTGCACTCTCAGACGTGCACTCTCAGACACTCGCACTCTCAGACACTCGCACTCTCAGACTTGCACTCTCAGACACTTGCACTCTCAGACACTCGCACTCTCAGACACTCGCACTCTCAGACTTGCACTCTCAGACACTTGCACTCTCAGACACTCGCACTCTCAGACACTCGCACTCTCAGACTTGCACTCTCAGACACTTGCACTCTCAGACACTCGCACTCTCAGACTACACATACAATGGTTAATTTTCGTAAAAGCAGTATTAAAATAGATGAATGAATGCGCGGGCATTGCCTTAAAGAAGTTTAACAGTGTTGAACATTTAGGCTAATATCTCTTAAACAGTATAACGCGTGACTTTGAATATTAATTAAGAATTTTGGCATACATTCATGAATTACATACAGTGATTTGATTGAATGATTGAATGAAAAACAGCAGAATAATGACTAGAATTGAATGCAAATGAATGAATATGTTAATTCTGATCTTATTCATCAGGTCTGGCACACAATGCAGCACTGCAGTCACTATTTAAACGAGCGCTAGCACAGTGTGCTGAAATCGGTAACGTTACGTTGGATTAAAACAAGTTCTGTTGAGTTTGGAAAATTCTGTGCACAGTAATCATCAGAATATCTCTTCGCCTATCTCATTTTAACAGGCTTTTATTCAACTAGATGATTGCAGCATATTGAAAAATATACATAATCGATGCACTGCTTCGACGAGCACTTCCAGTAATCAGTGCAGCTGTGATGAAGCTCTGCGGACTTGGCAACCCTGACACGAGAGCGCGCTGCGCGCACCCGCTACACAGAACACCTGCCCGCGCAGCGCGTCGCAGGACTAAACACGGCATTTATTGACCATTTTTGAAGGGAAACAAGCGTTGCATCTGGTTATTATTTTAAAAAGAAAACAAACTGCGTGCACTAATTATTTTCGAAGTGCTAGTTTTGACATGAACAGGGTTCTGATGTGTGCACGCGTCATTAGCGCAGTGGAGGAGAGCAGGAGCGTCTGTCATTAGCTCAGTGTGTGTGTGTGTGTGTGTGTGTGTGTGTGTGTGTGTGTGTGTGAGGGAGCATGAGTCCGCTGGCTCGGACCGTGCGCTATCTGCTGCTGCGGCCGCAGACTCTGCTGCTCCTCGGCGGCAGTCTGGCTCTCTGGAGCGTCCTCGAGGTGAAGACCATCCTGCGCTCCAGCCGCGACGCCGTCAGCAAGATGAAGGGCCGGGTGGAGGAGATGATGCACAGCGAGGGGATGCTGCATGAGGGGTTCTCCAAGACGTGGCAGCACAAGAGCAGCGGCGCAGCGGTGTACTCCATCCAGGGCATGTGTGTGTGTGTGTGTGTGTGTGTGTGTGTGTGTGAGGGAGCATGAGTCCGCTGGCTCGGACCGTGCGCTATCTGCTGCTGCGGCCGCAGACTCTGCTGCTCCTCGGCGGCAGTCTGGCTCTCTGGAGCGTCCTCGAGGTGAAGACCATCCTGCGCTCCAGCCGCGACGCCGTCAGCAAGATGAAGGGCCGGGTGGAGGAGATGATGCACAGCGAGGGGATGCTGCATGAGGGGTTCTCCAAGACGTGGCAGCACAAGAGCAGCGGCGCAGCGGTGTACTCCATCCAGGGCAAGAGGGATCACATGGAGGACAGGTTCGACATCCTCACAGACGCACTCAACCAGAGCCATACCAACATCTACGGCATCTTCGATGGGCATGGAGGAGAGGTGAACATGTCTGTCTGTCTGTCTGTGCATGCATCTGTCTGTCTGTCTGTCTGTCCATGCATCTGTCTGTCTGTCTGTCTGTCTGTGTATGTATCTGTCTGTCTGCATGCATCTGTCTGTCTGTCTGTCTGTGCATGCATCTGTCTGTCTGTCTGTCTGTGCATGCATCTGTCTGTCTGTGCATGCATCTGTCTGTCTGTCTGTGCATGCATCTGTCTGTCTGTGCATGCATCTGCGCTCTAATTTTCTACTTAATATACTAAAAATGATTCTTTAGATTCTTTTTCACTGTGCATATGAACTAAAATGCGCTTTTAACATACTTTCTCTGTATTTAAAAAATGTATTGGTCACCACTTGTAGTACACTTGAGTGTACTAATGTATGAAAGATGGGTTCAAGTGTACTACAAGTGGTAACTAAATAATTGTTTTTTAAATACAGAGAAAGTATGTTAAAAGCACATTTTAGTTCATATTCACAGTGAAAAATAATCTAAAGAATAATTTTTAGTATATTAAGTACAAAATGAGTGTGCAAAAATAGAGCCCTTTAAGTAAGTACATTATGGAAGTGTACTTTTTTAAACCTGGGACATTTGTGACTCTGAACCACAAAACCAGTCATAAGGGTCAATTTCTTTTCATCTGAAAGCTGAATAAATTAGCTTTCCATTGATGTATGGTTTGTTAGGATCGGACAATATTTGGCTGAGATACAACTATTTGAAAATCTGGAATCTGAGGGTGTAAAAAAATCTAAATATTGAGAAAATCATCTTTAAAGTTGTTCAAATGAAGTCTTTAGCAATGCATATTACTAATCAAACATTAAGTTTTGATATATTTACAGTAGGACATTTATTAGGATATTTCAATATCCTGAAATATTTGGTTTCCATAAAATGTAATTTTTTGCATTAACATCAGCACAAGATCGCCTGTTTGTATGAACATAAGATAGCAGCTTTCAAGTGTAAGAAAGTCAATTTTTATTTCCCACAATATATTACAAAAAAAACTAAACATTGTTCCATTATTAGTTTGGATTGGAAGTTATATAACATTAAGCTTTATGTTTGTGCTGTACAGATTTAAGAGAAAAGGACAGCTGTTTTGGGATTTCAGACACACACACACTTTTGTTATCATTATTTGGTCATTTTTTGTAGACGTTTCAGCAGAATTTTTCACATACAGATCTGATTTGGTGTCTGTCTCATTTGGTGCAGTGTAGTTTACTGTAAGAACATTGTTCTTTACCATATTCAAGTTGTTTCAGATAAAAGTGTCTGCTAATGCTTAAATATAAATACAATTGCCATTATGTCATACTTTCCATAAAGCACAGCTCTTAATGAGAATAACAATTGTTGAGCTGTATGTATTATTAGGACAGTAGATTTGAGTGTTATTATCTATGAATAAAAAAAAAACAGGCAATTTGAGTTTGTTTATTTTTATCATGGTAAATATAGTACTGTGATGAACAATGGTATCAGATCTCTATATGACACTCATCAGACATCAACAACACACGAACACTTGTCAACACTGATGTCATGTACATCAGTGTGGATCCAAAACAATCTGTGAGCGCCAGCCAAACCAATAATAATGTGCATGGTCTAAACACATATTGCAAAAAACAGTAATGCATTAACTATGTAACATACTTGTATGTAACATAAAGTTCTCATAATGAGGCCAGAGTGAGTGTATTATGTTTAGGCATGGGCAATTTAGCCTATTTGTCAGTTTTAGTACTTGACGGATACAACTCAGAGTACTCAAGGGAATAATGGCATGGAAAAAAATGCAGTATTATTGACCATTATTATCGATTATATCTCCAGAGTGAATGCATCTTGTGTGAGTGTACTCATTCTGCATCTGCCTGCAATCTTTCCTGAGTGATTACCTGGCCTGAAAGTCACCAAGTACATTAGCATGTTCACCAATAATGCGATTATTGACAACCAAAGTAAGGGCTTATTCAAATGAAGATGTTTACACAATGTGCAAACCACCTGGATTTTACCACATTTATTAACTTTAAACCGAAATAAAATAAATAGCAGAACTACTAGACGGGAATAAGAATAAACCCAGAATAGCTCAAAATCCACCAGTTATATCATCAGAAATAATGAATTGTGTTTCTTTAACGTAACACGAAACAGCACAAAGATAATTGGTTCAATGCACAAAAAATGTCAGTTTCAAATTAAAATGTCTTAGACATATAACATAGGCAGAAACACTTCTCAAGCACAGTTTTGCAATGTAAAAGACAAAAGAACAAAACAGTAAGTGCTAATTCTGTAGTTGCTCCTGCACCTGCATTTTATATTGTATTGCATTTTTAACAGCAGATTTGAGAGTCCGTTTCTCAACAGAGTGGCAATATAAAACATTTACACCATTGTGATTGTTTACTGTGATTAGGAGTGTAATTACCACTTGTAAACGATCACCATATTAAAAAAGGCCCCTTTTGGACACACTTCTGTATTAGTTGCTATGTCATGCATGATCATAACAGTGATTGTTTTCTTGATTATTTACTGGTGTCACGTCCAAGTACTCCCTAATTATCAGAATCAGAATGAGCTTTATTGCCAGGTATGTTTACACATACAAGGAATTTGTTTTCGTGACAGAAGCTTCCACAGTGTAACAGAATGACAGTGACGGAACAAAAAACAAAGATAATAATTTTTTTTTTTTTAAATAGAACAAGTAAAATCAGGAATAAAAAA